GTCTTCATTCGTTGCAGAAATTACTTCGAGGTGAAGTACAAGCCAGGAAAGCAAAATGATTTGGCTGATGCGTTGTCACGCAAGCTCGATTATTAGATTTCTCATGCTATTACTCTGTCGTCGTCTATCCTTGATTTAATCCGTGCGGCTTATGCTAAGGATGAGCAGTGTGTCGCGTGATTGCGCGCAATATGCTGTGATGAGTTCAAGGACTCGGACATTTAAATTGTCGGCACGATTACGTGCGGGACTACATCGATATTCTCTCGATAATGACCTACTGTGCTACAGCACGGATGCAAGGACAACTTCGCACATTGTAGTTCCCCATAATACAGAACTGAAGTATCGTATCCTCTTTGAGGCGCATGATACATCTTTGAGCGGTCATCTCGGTCAAGAAAAGACGTACGGCTCGTTCAGCCGAAATTATTGGTGAACCAAATTGTATAAATGGGTAGAACGTATGTGCGTACGTGTGAACCATGTCAACGCGCCAAACCTTCTGCTCATCCGGCTGAGCCTTTAACGAATTTACCTGGTCCCACTAAGTGTTGGAATTCCATCAGTATGGACTTTGTGTTTGGCCAATCGAAAGATTTGGACGGCAACACTGGCATTTTGGTCTTCATTGATCGTTTAAGCAAGATGGCTCATACAGCGGATGTGCCAGACTCAATCGATGGTGAACGTACAGCACAGATGATTATTGGTCGGGTCTTTTGTCAACATGGTTTGCCCGTAGCAATTGTTTCAGACCGTGATCCTCGGTTGACCGGAAAAATTTGGAAGTCTACATTCAAGGTGCTGGGCACCAGGTTGGATATTTCCACAGCGAATCATCCGCAGACCGATGGTTGAATCGAGCGTGTCAACCGCGTTATTGGTGATATTTTACGCATTGTGTGCGCTGGGGCGCCTCGGTGTTGGGGCTCCATGCTTTCGGCAATCGAATTTGCAATGAAAAACTCGGTACATGACTCGACTGGTTACACGCCGCTCTATGTAAACGTTCTAACACCCCCCGCGTTCCGTTAACGCTACAATCCCGTGATTCAGAGCTTGGTGGGGGAGGGATTGCCGATAGCTTGCAGGTGTCAGCCCTGCCACTGTTCCGTAACAGGTCGGAGAAATATTTGCGACAAGGTTGAATGTCTTACAACATGTGCGGGACGCAATGGCTGAAAGCCAAGATAAACAAAAAAACGAGCAGATGGAAAAAGAAGAGGTTGTATTGAGAGCTGTGAGGTCATTGACCAAGTTTTACTTAGTGCTAAAAAATTACCTACAAATGTAGTGTCTGCGCTTTGTCAGACCTTTTACGGTCGTGGCCAAGAAGGGCCTTGCGTATATGCTTAGCCTACCGCGCTAATTGCGTCCTCACCCCGTCTTTTATGTGGGAATGCTTAAGCTGAACCAGGATCCGTCCTTTGTTGACTCGAGGGAGCTGGCGCTGCGTACATTGGCGTTACCACAGGATGTTACATCCGGATCAAGAGATCAAGCTGTGCTTCAACACGTTCAGACGTGTCTCTATCGTCTGAAGACGGGCGTGATCGCCTTTAAGCGTAGCCAGACGAGACTGTGCTTCGTTCAGAGCATGCTAAGCTTGACCCAAAGTCTTCACGGAGGCTATTTACATCTTTCGACAGATTCTAGTGGCTCAGCCGATTCACCGATCGCCATTGGCGTTACTTGATAAGCATGGGAACCTCCAGTTCCATGTACATAAGTTACTTTAACGACGTCGTCGTCATGGTCACTACCAATACCTGGTGAAGTGGCGTGATTATTTCGAGTCTGAGAACTCAGGCGAGTATGAGATACCCCTTCAACAAGATTGCCCCTACGCCGTGGACGTTTTTGAGCGCCACAACTTAGGCCCGTCTTGACGAGCACCACGCTTCTCACTAGTCAGAGTGAGAGCAGGCGGGTTTGTGTCAAAATACTGACGTAAACTCGCGGCTGCAAAAGTAGCCTAAGCATAGCGGGAATGAGATATTCCCCTCAGTCGGCTTTTAGCCTCTAACTTCGCAAAGTCGTAGCAATGTTTTCGCTCTAGACGAACGTCTGTTAAACTGGTACTTGCTTTCAGAGCTACCATACTACTGAGGCGTCGAAATCTATGTACTTAGCGTTCGAACGCATTATCCTCTGAGTCGTCGTCCTCACCCTTAGACATTAAGACGGGTGTACCCTTTGATCGGTGGGACTGGTGTGCCGTCGTTGGCCTGCTTCTGGAGTTTTTCTTGATAATCACTCAAGGTCATCACAGTAGGTTCCAAATACCTTATCTGAAGAGCCAAACGGCAGTCGATTTCAGGTGAACCTTTCGCCTAGGGGTAAATGGACCACCCTGCCAAAGTATTGCGATCCATTTGACGGATGCGTTCTTCGACTTCAGGCGGAGGAAATTTGTATTCAAGGTGTCGTTGTAGGGTGGTCAGAATTTCTGGCTTACGCCGTGCGCTTTTCCGCCTGATCTAGTATGCATTGTTGCTCCTCGTCAAGTGGGATATTGATGATGGACGGGTCCATGTTAGGCATCGTACCCAGCGATGTTAGCGCAGTAGCGGTACCACGTTCAGGAAACGGATTCGGTGCCTGACGTGAGGTCACGAACAGATGTGCTGGGTTCGGATTGCTCCTCTTCCTGATTGGCGGTATCACTACTACTGCTGTCGTCCACGTACTCGACACCAAGTAATTCGGCTAGAGCCTTTTATTCCGTAAGATATCCAGGTCGTTCCATGATGACAATTTACAAAGTAACAAACTCACTGGGGAGACAGGTCGAGTGAAGTTGTGGTGGAGTGGGTTGTCAAAGCCATTTGACGATACCCCAACCCACTCACTGTGCCGGACTGCCGACTATCGGAGGGGGTACCCCGAGGCCGCTTGTAGACCTTGACTCACCTTGTAAACCCGCCGGCTTGGCGGGTTTTAATCTTCGAAGGAATTAATAATGATTGTATATGTCGGCCATGGTAGAGATCAACCTGGGGGGGTCGAGCGGATATGATTCAGTCGGGGTCAAATTTAGGCGGTCGCTCGATCGACTTGGGCGAGAGTGGTCTTATAACCAGTTGTCTCAGGTGTCGGTAGCTCCTAGCCTTTCTTGTCTCAGGGATGTTAACCCCGGCCTTTACGTTTCTTATCAATTATTACTAGGGTATGGAGACCGCTTCTAATAGCGGGCTTGAGTTAGGGGGGGTGCTACCCTACGAACACACAGGCAAATTGTACTTCCTGGTGCTCTACTTACACTTGGTTCTTATTGACAATTGTCCATTCAACAGGTAAGACAGACCGATCCCTGGCTCGGAACAGGTCGGTAGACTTACAATTTTCTTAGTGCACGACACGTCGCGCTACTTAGATTGCAAATTGAGTAGTGTGTAATGATTTCTACCCTTTAAACTCCCTTACTCTATCTTTGCCTTGCACCTGGGTTCTCTGTGATGAGTGGCCAGGAGCCACCATACCTTGAGGGGCCTAGTCGATATATGGGTAATCAGGTTGGCCGATGGGTGGCCAGGTCGGCCTATAAGTTACTGAGGCCCACCTTGGGCGACCAGGCCGACCGACGAGTGGTTGAGAACGATCCAAATTGATACCGTTTAAAATAGTACTGTCATTTAATTTGACCCCGTTAGCAGTAACCTTAATCGCTCGTCACGATGGACCCAAAGGACGATCCTTCTATGTCACCCCCAAGTCCCTGGTCCATTTCTCGGCCGCGAGGTCCCATGTCCGTCCGAATCATCGACCCTTAAGTTCATCAATCCTTAAAAACTCGCTTCACCACAGAGTTTTGTGGTAACGTCAGTCTGGTGGGGGCGGGTGAACGGGGCCACACTAGCCATCGACTAAATTGGTTGAAGACCTCCCATATGTGACATGAGATGCAAGCGTAGCCTTAGATTTTACTACTTTGTACCGTCATCATTTGCTGAGTGATGTGCGAACCATCCATTTAGTTTGAATGCTAACATTTTTATTAGTTCTAGTTTAGTCTAATACATGGTACTTAAAGTAGGATTTTCCTTGATATAAAATCCAGATAAATTCAGTTCTCATTTTGAGTGGAATTCCGTAGAATTCCCCCTTTTGCACGTTGCGCTTGACAGTTCCTTAGAACTGTCGTGGATTAGAGACTCCTTAGACTCCTGTATTCCCCTTTGCCCATTGTGCGTGTAATTCCTTAGAGCTACAGTAGTCTGATCTAATAGCTCATAGGGTCCGCGCTAAGTTCCGTAGAACTAGACGAATCTTTAACTTGATAGATTAGTTCCTTAGAACTAATCGGCTACTAGCCCTCACAACTAATTGGCTGTTAGCCGTAAGCCTCTGGCTTAACCCGAAAAGTCTTCCTCTGGCTTCAGAGCTGTGGTAGCTTGGCTACATTCCTTCCTCAGTGAATGCTGTTGTACAGTGTTTTGCCTTTAATTCGGTTTCGCGATCTGGATTACTTTTGTATAAGGACGAGCTCCAGAGCTTGCTCTTCTATTTTAGTTTTCAGCTTCAAGAACAGCACGCTGGACGTGAAAGGTTCAAGGGTAAGGCAAGTCAGACGTATCAGCATATTGTGTGTGAGAGGAGTTAATAATAGGTTTAGTCCTTCACAAAGCACCATGACGGTTTATGTGTACCACCTAAGCTTGAGTGTACAAGGACTTGGGGCAATATTTCCAAATAACTAGACATTTTTAATTTCCAATTAATTGGGGCATCAATTTTGATATTAAATGATCTAGGACATTTTTTAATTTCCAATTCTCTAAGGCATTATTTCTAGTTTCTAATTATCCAGGACATTTTTATTTTTGTGAATTTATGATGCATTTTTTCCCCCAAAGATTCAACTTGCAGGCTGATTGCTTGTCCCTATGAACGCTCGACGCGTTTGCAGTACGGAATTGCAAAATTTATAGAACGAATGAGCCCCGCCCTTTTGATTCATCCAAGAAATTGCCACAAATTCAAAGATCCTGTGAACGATGCTGGCCCAGCTCGTGGCCGATGTCTGTCCCTCGTCCGCGTCGTTCTTCGGCTTCATGGGCGTCGCGTCCGCCCTCGTCTTTGCCAGTACGTTGTCACTCGCTGGAGCTCCGACGTCGCGACAGCATACAGTAGTAGTAGTAGCAGTCGTAGGAATTGTCGTGCTACTTTCTGGATCTGCCGTCGCTTCACGCCTGCTCCAGCTCATCGATTGGTCAATTGGGTGATTGACTTGGTTGTTGTATGGTCGGATGCCAGATCTTGGAGCAGCGTACGGCACGGCCAAGTCGGGCGTGGGCATTGCGTCCATGGGCGTCATGCGACCGGATCTGGCCATGCGCAACATCATCCCCGTGGTCATGGCGGGTGTGCTGGGGATCTACGGTCTCATCGTGGCAGTGATCATCCAGGGGTCCATTGACCCTCCGAACGGGAACTCGCCCAAGTACGGCTCGTACTCTGGCTTTGCGCACTTGGCAGCCGGTCTCTGCTGTGGCCTCAGTGGTCTGGCAGCAGGGATGGCCATTGGCGTGGTCGGAGACGCTGGCGTGCGTGCAGTGGGGCAGCAGGAGAAGCTGTTTGTGAACATGATCCTGATCTTGATCTTCGCCGAAGCGCTCGGGCTCTACGGCTTGATCGTGGCACTGATCTTGTCGCAGAAGAAGAGCGACTGCCCGTCGGAGTAATTGCCGAAGTAGACTGGACTGGTCTGATTTTCACAGGCTTGAGCGACTCTGAAAAAAGCTATCGCATGCGGCTGCTATTACTGGATTGGATGAAGTGGTAGGCAACTTACTATCTCCGATCTATATGACTTGACAACAATGTTGAAGTCGCGCAGTACATCATGACGGAGGCCTTTTTATCATTCATGCGTGCTGGTGCTTCTGATCGTCAATTCTCTTTTCGTGCGTGGGCCGTAGCTCTCTTGCTCTGGACAAGGTGCAAGTCAAGCACTTCTTTTACTCGGAAGTTATCGAGTGCATTCTCATTACAGCGTCGTCTTTTAATAGCCCAGTAAAAGCCCCCAACACTAAAATGCTTATGTAAAACACAGTCATGTCTTGCCTGCGTGGTCGTGTGTGTGAACATCATTAACAGCGCCCATCCGCGTCTCATTGCAGTCACAGAGAAGTGCTTACACTCTAGCAACACTATGCAATGACAAAGACACACTTACTGACAACGTAGACAATCAATACTTTGCTCGTCATTACCGAATGTACTAACGTATAAGCTGCGGCCATTTCGGGCGAGCCTGGAATAGTTGAAAAGTCAAGTAATTACTCACTGCACCGTACCGCAGTCAGGACCTCTGACGCATTGAATAAAGCAAAGCACGCTACATCCAAACCGCACCAAAACAGCTACTCGATTCCATCTCACCACCTCTTCACTTGAATGTTATTACTCAAAGTCGCGCTCAGGCCTTTGAAAAATCGGCCTGTCCAAGTCCAGTCTACTTCGGCAATTACTCCGACGGGCAGTCGCTCTTC